TCAGCCCGCTTCCTCTGGTCTCTATCAGAGGGCTTCCCAGCTCTCTGCTGCCCTCTCCTGGCCTCCAGTAGCACTGTGTTCACATCAGACTTTGGAGCACCAAAGCCAATTCCAGATGACAGTCCCTGAAGGATCTAAGAGCCCTAACAAGTGGACCAGACTCGTAAGATGAACTGGATATCTACCATCTTTATCAATATTTTTAAAAATAAGAATTTCAACAGAGGTATCGAAAGAGAACATCCCTAACATTCATTGCAAACAGAATGAATAGCAAAAGAGCAAGAAGCATAGAGGGAAACTTCGGAGCATATTTAAAGAAGACAGCGTTAGGACAAGTGAATTCCCCATCAGGGGACGTTCAGTAGTGAACGAGGATCTTCAAAGAGACAAAACTGTTTAATCTGCCATTTTTACTGGCAGGTATTGAAAACAGTACAATATTTGTATTTATACCAGCAAGTTTTCTCCACCAAATGTCTTGTAAATATTGTAATGTTTTCAAATGTAATATAGGCTTAGATTTGCTCTGAAATGTGAAATGAACATGAAAAAAAAAAAAAAGACAGTGAATACCAGTTTGGCCCTACCAGTGGCTCCCAGTCCTAGCCGGAAGGGTATCAAGGCATATTGCTTTCTGGGTGCCGTTGCGGGCTAAATAAGAATCCCTCAGGTTGGTACTGATGACTTAGACTTCTAAGTCTCCCCTGGTGATTCCAATGAATATTAAGAGCACTTTGGTTAGACTATAAAGTATAAGAGGTGGTGGGCTAAAACCAGGGTCATAGTATGGGAAATATTAAATGAGATATTTGTCATTTGCAGAAAGTTTTTGAATCTCTTTTAAAGAGCTGTCCCTAGCAGACCCCACGTAGAAGTATATACCTTGAGTTTACAGACCAGTTCCTGAGCCTCCCAGCTGGACTTTGTTCTCAGGCCTGACCCCGTAATTCTGTACTTGCTCAGCCTTCCCTCATTAGGTGACCCTCAGGGAGGTTGGATGCCTCCTCCCTGTAGGTGCCACCCCTCCGTCCCAGCAGTGCTGTCTCAGACCAGCTCGGGAAGCCCCTCCAGCTTCGTGCACTGCAGGCAGCACTCCTCTCCCCCTAAGCCAGTGCGCCCTGCTCTGCGGGGAGACCCAGATGGTAAAGGTTGGGGTGAGGGAGACAAGTGGAGTTAAACTAACAAGCAACACAGTGGGGCTCTGTGATACTGTTGTCACCACGAATGTCGCCCCTATAATGTTCTGGTTCCATAAAAGCGATGGCCTCTCACCTTAGCCACGATCTTTCCCACCCTTCCTTTCTGTCCTACTCAGTATGATAATCGCCTTCCCCAGAAGACTTCCCTGACCACCCCACCTCTTGCTCAAAGCCCTCCAGCGCCTCTATTGTGTATCATTATTTTGCACTTAACATGCTATAATTTTCTTTTCTTCAATTGTGTACATTCTCTATCTTACTTAACTTTTTGTTTAGTTAGCTGCTATATTGCAAGGTTATCTCATCTTCTTTATGCTTCTTTATTATCTGGGAAACACAAAGCAGGGTGCCTTGCACCTAGTGGGTGTTCAGTTAGAATTTGCTAATTGAGTTTCCTTCAAGCATCACTGACTCAGTCCATGCATATAAAATCCAAACCCTGCTAACCATCATTCTGGACTTGATTTTTTCCCCCAGGGCTTATCCAGTCTCCCCTATTCTTCAGAAGTCAGGCTCCATGTTTCCTACCTCCTTCAGCACACAATCATTTCAATTATCTAACTAACCTCAAGCTGCCTTTTCTCCCTCCCTGTGTTTACTCTGCTTAGCTAGAAGATTGCTGGCAAACTCAAATTTGCATTTTTAATCAGGCATTGCATCGGATTTTTGCTCTATTATTGTAAGTCCTTCTTACATTTAAGCTGCTACTTGGTGTATGGGTGACAGCATAAACGTAAATAAGGAAGTAATTTGGTTTTCTTCATCTTTAAAAAAAAATTTCTAAGCCTTAGAGGAGCACTTTTCCTTCCTCGCCTGGAAATGTTGCCAGTTATTTTTAAGGTGAAAACAAAGGCTTGCCTGGGGCAAAACTCTCCTTATTCAAGCCCCTTCTAGGAACAAGTGTTATTTAAATTCAGTTAAAGCTTTGCCCAGGGTTCATTTCCGGAGGGAAGGGAAACAATGCACTTTGTTTGCTCTGTTCCACCAGCCACAGTGCTCCCCCCCTTGTAATTCTTGTCCATCACAGCTGGTTCCTGATCCTGGAATGGATCAGGATAAATCTGATCCTGGCTAAGCGGCCCAATTCCGGGAAGACTCGAGCTCTGCATTGGTGGCATGGAGCTGCTTTTGCCCGCCAGCTTTCTCTGGTCATCTCACCTTCTATGCAGTGGGGTTCCCCCATCTCGGGTGTCTGGCCTCCCCTATCATCTAAGTGAACCACACAACCTACAGAAGATCCTTATCACCCCCTGATTTAGGCTCTTGGTTCCCTCTTCTGATGTTCTTTGACACTGCCACCCCACCGCAGAAGCACCCGAAGTGAGCCTCCATCTCTCCCCTCTCTCTGCTACCCCACTCCTGAGTCTGCCAGCCCCTGAATGATCTGAGCCTGAAAATTTGATCATCTGAAATGGAATCCGAATTATCCCTGCTCTTCAAATCAACTGAAAATATAAAGTGACCACAAACCATAAACATAAAGGCAACAGGATACCCAGCCGCGTGGGAAGCGGATAAAGGTCTGCAGGGAGTTGAGGGAGGAGATGAATCTTAAGTCACAGGCTCCACCAGCTCTACCAGGAACTCATATTATTTCTTCATGCCAAGTTTTTCACATCCGCAAAATAAATATAACTAGACCCCCAGACTATTTTAGTGTGCAAATAACAAAAATAATTAGCGTTTGTATTGTGCCAGGCACTGTGCGGAAGGTTACCTACATTTCATGTTTTCATCCTCGTAATGTCCACAGGAGACAGACACCATCCTAACCCCACTTTCCGTAGGGTTAAACTGTCATCATGGCTGGGGAGGCACTTTTTAAAATATTGCAGTGTGGTATATTTGACTGTGATATTGACCTAGAACAATACAAACCAAAGCCAAGAAAAATAACCATGTAGTGGATGTGCTACAGGGGAAAAAAAGAGAATGCAGCAAACAGAGCCAGGGCTGGAGTCAGAAGGTCTTGAGGGGTGGCGGGGAGGAAAGTCCTGAATGGTGAGGCAAAATGATGCACAGGAGAGGAAGCTGAGGGTGGATCATGTAGGGAAGGACATGGCTGTAGGCTCAGGCTTCCTAGATCTCCATCTTATTTTGGCCTATTATTGGCTACCTCTGGCACTTAACCTTTATAAAATGAAGATAACAAAACCTACCTCAATGGATTAAACGCTTAGCAGAATGCCTGGTATGCAGGAGGCACTCAATATGTGCTAGCTCTTCTTAATGGCTTAATTAAGCACGTGTGAATCTACAGTTGTCCTCTCAGCAGGGAAGATCAAAAGTCACAGCATCAGCAAATCACTTAACATGTAAATAAAACTGGGATGTGAGGTTATGACATTTTTAAGAAACGAAAGGAAATAGCAGTGAGAGAGAAGCGCAGGTCAGAGTTCCTGGAATGCAGATGGCTAGTCGTAGACACTTGCAGGTGGCCCCAAGGGTGACTTCAGACTGAAAGAAAGTCCACGGGAAAGAAAATGGGAAAACTACAGTTTACACACACACACACTCACACACGCACATACACACATACTTGCACAGACTTGCTCCTTCTATGACTGAACAGATGTGCCTCCTGCCTCCTCCCTTGGGCTGTCTTCACATTCTAACCTTTGACTCTGCATCAGAATATGCCTGGATCCTTGCCTTGCAACCCTGGCAAAGCGTAAATTCCCAAACAGCCAATAAGCAACTGGTAAGGCCACCTCACTGGTGGTCACAAGAGTTAATCAGCAGTTGCAACGGTGCAGAACACTGCATGGGAGCCATCTGTCTGGCAGGTAGGGTTTAATGGGACTAACTCTTAAAGCAAAATTGTGCGGGTATCTGATGGCCCAAAGCTGGCTGGCTCCCCTTGCTTTTTACTTTAGAACAGGGACAAAGACTAACGATTTGAAGATTTCTTGAAGATTAACTTTGGTTATTTTTGTTACTCCCTAGCTGTTTTTCAGTAGTGTTTCGCAATAAAATCCTTAAAAAGAAAAAGAACAGTGTGTTTATTTCAAACATATAAAGGAAGAACGAGGGAGAAAGAAAGTCCACGGGAAAGAAAATGGGAAAACTACAGAGTGGTGCATTTGTATCTGCTGTACACACTGTCTGCTCTGACCGGGAATTCCCTAGAAAACATCTAGCTGCACAAACCAAGGCGTGGTGGGTGACCCTGTCTGAGGACCTAACTGAGGAGAAGGTGAAGGTGGGTGAAAGGCACAAGGGAGAAACATCTGTGGATTTGAATTGGGAAGATGGAGTTAGCTGAACTTTCTCTGGCCATAGCTCAGACCATCTACCAGATTGGGCTGTCTCTATTTTTCCTGTCTACTTTTGTTTTTTTAAACTTCCAGATGGACAGACACTGAAGCCTTGAGGAAATAGCGTCTCTTCCGTCCAGATCTCTGCTGGGCTGACGCTGTAGAGACAGCTTGAAATTTGCATCGCTCTCACTCTCCTCTGATGCCTTCTTCAAAAACTCTTGGAATCATTGCCTCTAGCTGGCTTCTTACATTTCAGTTGGAACTTCCCATAGAAAAGACCACCGCGTCTCATGAACATCAGACTTTGTTCTTTCTGTGCGCGTGCTTTTTCACCTTCCCTGGCTGAACGACCTGGAGTTGACAGAAAAACTTCACTTTCCCTCCAGCTAAGTTAAATCATTAGGAGCAACTTCAAATTTAGAAAACCCAGATCCCTTACAATGTTTTAAATGATTTATTTTTCTGAGTGTTCTGAGTAAAATTGTCTTTTAAAGTCACTCTAGTTATATTAATTCAAAACTGTTCCCTCTGGTTTTGTAGGTTTTAAACCATATTGGACTAAACATGTACCTCCAGGAACTGGAAAGTCTTAAATATTAAGAGCAATTTTCTACTTCAAGCAAGGTGAGAGCCGTGGGCCGGATCTTCTTCTCTCTGACTGCCTCCCAGGGGCCAGAGGCTGCCTTTATTCCCGATATTAACTGTGACCGAGTCCATCTGGGAACCAAACTTGGCTACAGTTGGGATTACCTACAGGAAGAGCTCAGGGTTGGGGAGCTCCTGGGGTAAACTATCCTGGTGGGTTAGAGATCGAGGACCATTTGTGGAGCCACGAGACTCTCTGTGGGAGTAAGATGAGCTGGCTAGTCACGGAAGTCCCACTCAGAAGTTTGGAAGGGTACCTTTCATGTTGATGAGGCCATTTGGATTCAACCGTTCTGATTGACGTAGGGACTTGTAAAGCAAGATTTTAAAAGACACAAATTGTTAAATACTCAGTTGCTTTTAAACATATGTTACCATTCCTTCCTCACCCTCTTGTAAAAACATCAACTGAGACCCATTAAAAGTTTCAAGAGTTTATTTGAGCATACGTTGATTGGAATGGGGCGGCTCCCAACCAGAAATGGTTAGGAGCCCCCCACTGACAGGAGCTGGGGGGAGGTTTTTACGGAGAATATCTGGAGGCAAAGCAAGGAAATCATTTGATTGGCTCTAGCTTAAGCAGTTGCCTTGGCTGGGAAAGCCCAGTTGGTGCTTTGTGATTGGTTTTTCTGCAGTGCCCTGACTGACTCTGGTTTTGGTTGGCTTCAGCAGGCCACCAAGGCATTAGAGCCACCTCAGCATGCTGGCCTCCTTGTTTAATTACTATTTTAACACCATTTAGAGACGATGTGAAGTGCAGGGATACTTATTATGCCTATTTTTAGATTAAAAAAATCTTTTTTACAATGAGGCCTGAAATTGGTTCTATTAAGATGCCTTGTTTTGCTCTTGGAATTACCTAGCTAAGGCGAACCAACAGGGACCAAGCCTGTGTGCAGACAGATCAAGCAAGTGATGATGGGGAAGGAGAAGACAAGAGGAGGAGGTGCCTCGGGGCGGGTCAGCCTACCTGTACTCACTCCTGCTGAACCGTCCAGCAGAATGTTCCCACTTACTCTGTAAGTTTCATGTGGCTTCTGTCTCTTGGTTCCTCATCTTTTTCCCAGAACAGAAACATTGATGTCCTCGCCCCCAGGGTGGCATTCTCATGTTGCCTATTTTTCACTCTGTAGAGTTCCCAAGATAATCTTAACTCCCCCAATGACTGTTCTGTCACGTACACACCTATAACTTCCAATTCTATATCTCTCATTCAACTTTCTACCCAGTCTCGCATTTCTAATTCCTAATAGGTATCTCCACCTGAATCATTTAAAAGAATTCTTCCCTGTACTCAGGGCATTTTGGAGTTATCATGCTCCTTCATTTTCTTTCCATGATTTATTCCCCCTTTTAGAATAAGTTCCATGCAAACAGGATTCTTGCCTGTCTTGTCACTATTATGTCACTCACCCATAAAGAGTATCTATTACATGAAGCAGATGCTTAATACACATTTCGTTGAATGAATGACCAAGTCAATGGTGAAAAGTTCTGAGTTTCTGGTAACTCAGAACTAATTGATTTTCTTGTTTTTAATGGATTTTCTAACAAATTTTCTTGTGAGAACTCTATTCTCCAATAATACCAGGTAAATGAAGCATGTAAATGAGAAAGTCTGTTGTCATTGAGATTATCTAAGCAATTTAAAAAACAAAATCTCTAAGTAAAGGCTATGATGAACTACCAGACCTAAACAAACAAACAAACAAATAAATAAATAAAAGAATTCTAACACAGTGTGTCCAAACTGAAATTATCATTCTCCATTAACATGTTTCTTCTTAGCTGAAAAGAATGGAGCAGGTAGCAAACCCCTGCCGTGGGCATGTGGGCTCCATTGCACTGGAGATTTCTGGGAGACTCCATGGAACATGTTTGAATTGTTTCACCCAAGGGACAAGAAAGCTGGAGTATTTAACCACCAACTCGTGTCTTCATCTTTGGCTGAGGGCTGCTCCCAGGTTAATTCCCTGGCACTTCTGACCTGTTCTGTATGTGGGCCAGTCACACTCCTGTAGCCAGAACAAGGCTTTGGGCTGAGAGTTGCAGGTGCTTTCATAAGAAGTCATTGGCAGGGAGAGACCAGAGATGGCAGTGGGAAAAGGGCGGGACATTAACGGCATCTCCTTGACACCACTCTGCTTCAAATCCTTCTGCAGTTTTCCACCAACGTGAGAATTATCCAGGCTCTTTCTCTTAGCTTACAAACCCTGTCCTCCGTCTTATCCTTGGAAAATGATCGTCTTCCTCTGAATCTCAGACAATGGCACACACCAGCTATGTCCCGCTCTCTCACATCTCCACTTATTTGTGCAGTTGCTCCCACATGGGTCCTGCCGCCTCATTAGCCTTAATAAACATGTCTCCTTCAAGACTCAGTTTATGAGCTGTCTCTTCCCTGATCCTTTTCCAGCAGCTGGTCGCCTCTGTTTGCTCCTACTGCACATTATGTACACTCCATTATAACATTCTTCTTTTGTATTTTTCAAAACTATATACAGCTATATATAATTACAAAACTGACACTTCTTAAATTTAAACAGGAAAAAAAGAAGAACCCAAAAACTCATTGAAACTCTACCTGAAGAGATAAACATCTTTAATATTTTGGCAAACGTCTTACCAATTGTTTATATCTTCACAATGGAAAATATACACAATGGAAAATCATAATCCTATGTAAGTAGATCACCCTCTACTCTACTCTATCTGTAATCTGCTTTTTTTCCCTTCTCAACCTTATGTCACACCCATCTTTCCAAGTTAGTAAATGTAGATCCTTACCTTGGTGTGTGATGGTTGGATAAGTTTGGTTGTAAATATGTTCTCTAATTTATTTATCCAAGCCTCTATTTGTGGGCCATTTAAGCTGTTTCCAGTAGTTCACTATTATAAGCAACTCTGTGATGGTTAGAGCCCATGGGGCATTGCTTATTGTTTGACTGTCTCCCCTACTTGGCCTGTGGCTTCTCCAGGGCACTACCTTTGATTGCTCATATTTCTACTTCTTTCTTCTGAGAGGAAAGATCTTTCTCGTTTGCTTAGTATTTTTTATGTATTTTTAAAATCTTTTTCTACAAGATGAAAGTAGTATTCATAACCCATTAAAGCATACCCTTTGTCCTAGATTGCCCATAAAATGAGCGAAAATCTCATAATACTTTAGGGCAGCAAGTTTTAAACTTTTTTGATCATGACCCACATTAAGAAATACAGTTTTAAAATTAAGAATCAGAACATACCTTTATATAACCAAAAGTTCGCAAAATAATACTCTTATGTGTGCAATATACTCTGACATTTTCTGTTCTATTTCATTTTAAGTATGTATTTTAGATGAATATGCTATTATGTTTATTTCTTTAGATCTAGATGTAGGCCTCCAATTGATTGTATAAGTCACGAATGGCCTGGGACCCACAGTGTGTAAAACACTCGAGTAGGTCCTGAGGACTGCTGACCTGTGCTAGTCCTGCAGCCATCTTTTTGGCTTTCCAGCTTCGCTGTAAACAAACAACTCTGAAATAATATTTTCTTCTACTTGCTGCCTGAGGTTTTGTATTTTAAGCACCAGTCTCCGCTATCACTGCTGCCACCGCACAGCCACTTAGATATGCATTCTCATTGACAGAAATGGCTTCCAGCAGTGAACTTTTGAGAGCTATACACATACACATGTGCCCATTATAACTGTGACATCGTATGTGTACAGACACATGTACACACACACACACACACACACACGCATATAATGGTCCAGGCTAGGAAGAAACTGAAGCTTAGCAAATAGATTTCCGATCCATTTCCAAAGTGGGCACAAAAAGGATAAAGCAATTGCACATAGCTTGAAACCCCAGATACAGTTCTAGGGGTATGTTTTGTGCTGATGTCAGAGCCTTTAAGTCAGGGTTCCCATGTCCCGGGTAGAGAAAGCTTCCCTCCACCTAGCATAAAGGACAGTCATTGCTCAGGACCACTTTCCTTTCATTATTGAGAATCCGCCTCTCCTCCCTTCTACCCCTAGTGTATAAAATCTCATCCTCTGTCAATTCCGTTTTATGAGGACCTAGAGGGCTCCATGGAATGTCTCCTTCTGCTACCAGTTACATGAACCTCAGATGGGGTGCTGTCTCCTTCTAGTTAGCAACTTTCCTAATCTCCTTTCTCGCTTTAACCTACCCACCAGGACTTAACTTTCCAGGAGAGGCATTTGGAAAGGGTGTAAGAGTGACAATCACATTTCCTTTTCGGCTCTTTCCTTTAGCCTTCTTTTTGAATGGCAGCTCTTGGAGGTGGGCGTTACAGATGAGTTTATCATGTTATTGGTGTTATTCTATTGGATGACAGCATCAATGAACATACCCCTTTCATTTCCTGGGTAGGCATAGGTCCGCAAAGAGAGCCAAGATTCAGATATTGGGTGACAGCAGAAGCAGTGAGACTTTGGGATGCTATCCATTATAGGAGCTTTGTTTTTAAATTGTTTTTTCTTTTTTTGCTGATTTATGCATCTTCTTGGCTTTTTTCCAATTTTAATCAGGTATATAGCTGATATGTATGTATAAATCAACCTTTTAATGTAATCAATTGATACTTGAGTGTCTGCTGTGCTTCTAGTAGTAACAGTGTGTAATTTGAGGTTCTGTGGGGAATACAAAGAAATAAAGAATGTGTTCCTGGCTCTCAAGAAGAAATGGTTCTGTGGGAGAGATAGGGTACATGAATAGAAAAGAAAAAATAAAGCAGTTAAAACTGAAGGCAAATTAAATAATTTAGAAAATCATTTTTCTAGGAGTTCAAAAGCAAGTATTGTAAAAGCGGTCTTTATCTGGGGAGGTGAAATTTGAGGCAGATCTGAAAGATGGGTAGCATTCAGACAGTCAGTGGCCTGAGAATGTATCCTGGACAGCTCAACACAAAACAGCAAAGAGGAAAATTAGTGGGGTTTAGAGGAGTAGAGAGTAAATCCTCCAGGCAGCAGCAGGGTTACATTACTACCCTGAAGGTCCAGTTGAGGGCTGGGCCAAAGCAATCTGTTCAAGGCCGAATGCTGCCGCATACTGAGGTCATAAAGACATAAATAAATCCTTTGAATTTGCAGTTTGTCATCTTGTCCCCCATTTTTGATGAATTTTTCGATTGCTGTCTCTAAGCGTTTATTTCCAAAAGCTCTCCAGACAGCAGTGCTTGTTGGGTTGGCTCAGCGTGGAGCACACCGTGGAATCTACAGCTAATGAGTGATTGGAGAGCAAACGTGAACAGTGATTGATTGACTGGTTGTCACTCACAGGTTCACTTGTTACTGCTTCAGGGACCTGTGGTGGTGTTTTTAAATCCTTCAGCTTTTCCTTGATAAACTGTTACACTATATATAATATGCAGCCAGTAGTCTAATTATAAGAATGTTTATCTCTTGCATACGGAAGGCAGCAGAACGAAAAGGAAAGCGCATCAGTGTGGGGACTGACTGGAGCAGACTTGGGTTTTGCAGTTAACTCTCTGCAACCTTGGGCAAGTCACTTACTCTCCCTGAGCCAAATAATCTCACCTGTAAAACGGGGCTAATACTCTCCATCTCATGGTGACTGTGAGGATCAACTTCAGGAAAATACATACAGAAACTTCTGTAAACTTGAAATCACTGTGTAAGTATAGGGTATGATTGTTTTTGCCTCATCACTAGCAGGCTGGTTTGTTAAACTGGTAATCGGTGATATTACAGAAATTCACCATTGACATTTTATTTCATCAAACTCTCGATCAGTGAATCTGAACTTTATTTGGTTATAGATATAAGACATAATAAGAGGGAAAACAACAATAATGGTAACTATGGCTCATTAGTGCTAATTCTATGAAAGGCATTGTGAAACGTATTATCTCACTAATCCTCACAACTCCATGAGGCAGGTACTACTTGTATCCTTTTTATACGCGGGAAAAAGGAGGCTCAGAGAAGTTGGGTTATTTGTCCAGTAAGTAGAACGGGGATTCCAACCCAGGCAGTCTGGCTCTGA